TGGACTGGCAGAAAAGTTTTCACAATATTGAGTGCGCTCGGAAAAAGATTTTCCACCAGCTTGTGCTCAGACGCACAGACGGTCTGTGCTCCAGAGTTAGCCCGTTTGTCAAATGCCCACTCAAGAAGCAAACTTGAACTCTCTCGGTTTCCGTCATGAAGAAGCCCAATTGTTGCAGGCGGCCATATTTCATGTGGTGTCCCATCAAGACATGGCGCGAAGTTGGCCGAAGCTAGAATGTGTTAGCTAGCTAGCTCTGACGTTGCCCTTTCAACCCCAAACCAGGTGGCAATTTGGGAAACTGTTAAAAAATTTCCCTTGTGGTTCCTATAAAGGTACCTATTCATAAATACTTTTCAGGGCCCCCAAACTACAACCCAGTATATCAACCCTAAACCCTAAACCCTAAACTCTAAACCCTAAACCCTAAACCCTAAACCCTGAACCCTAAACCCTAAACCCTAATTCGAGTGCCATGGGCCACGGGTGACAGATACGCGGAGCCCGGAGGAGCGCTGCCAGGCTTCCCATGATCAAGCAGGGGTCTTCAGATGATCTCGGGGTTGGTTTAGGGTTTAGGGTTTGGGGTTTAAGGTTCAGGGTTCAGGGTTTAGGGTTTAGGGTTTTCATCAAGCAGGGGTCTGTAGATGATCTCGTAGTTCCGAGAGACTCCAAAACCCCTTAACTAAGGAATACACCTTAAATCATCTTAGGGATCCTATTATAACTTAAGGTATATTCCTTAATTAAGGGATTTTGGAGTCTCTAGGTAGTTCGTTGCCAAGCCGCCCATGCCCGGCGCGCTGCGTGGCCCAGGACGGTACAGTATGTGCGATGAGCGAAGATTCGGCGCCCAGTCCTTGGCTCAGTTCCCAAGACCCTGAACCCTACTTAGAGGATCATGGGACTTAGTAAGTAAGGTTACAAGTACCCTAATTGGGGTTATAAGTATAGTTACCTTAGTTATAACCCTAGTTACTAAGTCCCATGATCCTCCAAGTACACGGTCCTTATAGCTAGGTTCCCCAAAAAACCATACTGGCGGGACCCAACTCCATAACAACAGCAAAGCCCTAAACCCTAAACCCTGAATGAGGCGGGCTCTCTCTGACGAAAAGGCCACTACACTTAAAAAAGAAAAAACCCTAAACCCCATATAATATATATATATATATATATAAATACATATGTATATATATATATATATGTATAGATAAATAAATAAATAAATAAATAAATAAATAAATATATATATATATATATATGGAGCCTCTGGGAACCTGTAAGCCCAGAGCCGGAGAGGAGGCTGTGCTCCCGAGCTCCTGAGGCGCGAAGCGCCGCAAGACCAACTTCAGCACCTTGGAGTGATGTAGGGGCCTAAAATAATTAGGGCCTTTGGGGTTTTAGGATTTAGGGTTTAGGGGTTTGGGGTTTAGAGATTAAAGGGGCCTAAAAACCCTAAACCCTAAACCCTAAACCCATAGTGTAGTATGGTGTAGTATCATATAGCATAGCATAGTCGAGTATGGTATCGTATAGTATGGTATGCTTTGTGAACTGCGGCACGCCTTCAGGCGACGCACGCTCTGCTTCCACAGGTTCGCTGAACAAAGGCCTTGCACTGAGGAGATGACCTGAAATCTTGAAAGCATGTCTGTCGCCACGGTTGGGAGGCGTGCGTTCTACAGCGATCACAGAACCGGCTCTGCCAGAAGAGTCGCGGGCTGTGCATACGTTGCTTCGTGCTGTGCGTGCCTCTGTCAGAGATTCGCAGTGACATGCGATCACAAAGCGGTCCTGTGTTTGCGAAGCACTGTGTTCGGGAAGTGCTGATACACCCCTTGAGCCTTCATCCATGCATCTCCCGTGCATTCGAGTAACTCCTTCAGCCTTGCTTTCGAGCTTTGATGTTATATACCCTAGACCCTAAACCCCTAAACCCTAAAGGCTAAACCCTATCGGACGTGTTTGCCGAGTCTCCGCCTCGGCTGCTTTGAAATTCTCGAAGCACCAGCTCCGAAGAAGAAGGAGCGAAGGACTGGCATCTTCAAGCATCCCTTTTAACAGAGAGGCCCATTTCGGGAGTTCTGACAGGTCAGAAGCCGCCAAGGAAAAGCCAAAGCCACCTGCTTCGCCTCCGGTAGCCTGGCACATCAAGTCCGCACGCATGATATCTGATGGCCGCATGAATATGTTGTAGTCGCACCTCACGAGCCATCTGCCTGTCTTATGTTTGGCGCCACAAGACATAAGTCATGAAGCATGTCAGGACCCTGTTCGCGCCCCTTGCCCAGGATGCAATGCCCAAAGCGGCGGCAGAGGAGGTGACGCAAGAAGCAGGAAGTGCGGCTTCAGCCGCTGCGAAGGCAGCCGCTTCAAAGCAAAGCTCAAAGCCGACTGCAGCTGAGTTAGCGGCGAAGGCCGCGGCAGCAGCTACAAAGCTTGCAAAGGAGAAGGCTCGGACTGGGCAGTGCCTGTCTATTACTATTCTTACTATTGCTATGAGTATGATTATCATCAGCATCATTGTTACTATTGCTACGATTGCTATGATTATTGTTACTCTTATTGCTCTTACTACTATTGTCACTACTATGGCTATTTCGCTGTTTTTACTTCTATTGCTATTGCCACTAGCGTTGTTATTCTTACTTTGATTACTGCCGTTATTACTCTGATGGTATATACGGGGGTGGGAAGACTTGCTCTCCAGCTTGGGCAGGAGCAGAACCAGCGCCGGGAGCGCGAGTACTTCAAGCCCTACATAGGCGGATCATCTAGGGTTGATCTGAACCATGAATGCTCCGACGTGACACTCAGGTGCAACATTTGCCTGGATGTGCCCCAAGATGTCCCATCAATAGCAAGAACAGCAATAAGCGTAGCAACAGCAATAATAGAGATACGGGTAATAATATTTAGTACTACTAGCCCTTCAAAGCCGTAGGTGCCAGGAAGCCTGGCAGTGTTTTTTGCGCCGCAGTTCTCGGCCCAAATCCGCAGCAGTTGTTGAAATGGCGGCTGTCATCCTCGCCCCTCGGTGGTTGTATGTTCAGTGGCGCGTGCCCCCATCAAAGCCCCCATCCACTTGCGGGAACTGTTTCGTGCACCGCTAAAGAACCTCAGAATCTGAAGAGAGTTATACTTCTATACCTCAGTTGCAGCATTTCGCGAAGCCCAGCTGGATGGTAGTCTAGCAGTTCCCGGGGGCAGGCTAGCGCGAAGGGTTTGTGTCCGCCCGCCGTCATGTACCGAGGCTGCTTTGCTGGGCTTGGCCGCAGGTGCTGGCGGGTTGAAGGGATGAAAGAGTTTGAGAGAGACATGTATGGAAGATGAAGGTGCCGAGCTGCAGCTGTCGGGCGAGGCCGTGCAGAGATGTGCAGAGTCGGGTGGCAAAAGCGCAGCACAAAGCCATTACAGGTGGATGTGGTGACCTCGTCCCTGTATGTTGTGGAGATGCCGCCTGCCGCTGTTGTGAAAGCTCCGGGACCCGGACAGCGAGTCCTAGGCAGCGGAGAGATTTCGAGCTTTCTGGCTCTAAAGGCCTAGGCGCCGCTGTATTTCCTGATTTTTCCCATATTGCAGCATGCAACAGGAAACGGATGCTAGTAAAGCTCGAAAAAAGGTGGCAGTCCGGCAGGGTTACGAGCTTCAGCGTTTCGCTTCGCAGGACATTTGCGACAGTGTGCAAAGATGCTTCCTCCAAGTGCGCAAGCCTCAGTCTCTACAATACCGTGGGCCGCTTGCACTTGTGGTGTCTACGACGATCCTGATGAAGCTGCATCCTTCAAACGCGTAGTTCACCTCAATGCGAAAAGGTGCGTGGTGCGTGCTGTCACGCAACGGTACCCCTTTTGTCCCTAAACTCCCGCACCGCAACCAAGCGCAGGTGGTGGCGGGAGGGGGGGGGTCGCGGGGCAGCGTGGGGCATGCCTCCGTTTTGCGGTGAGGAAGCAGAAGGGGGAGCGAGATACGCGTGCACGTATGATTCCGCATGTGAAGAAGGTGACCCTTGCGGCCGCGATCTGGGCATACTTGTCCAAGGCATGCAGCTGGTGGTAGCTGTGGTACGGCATCACGGGAAGCCTGGCAGTCTTGCTGAAGAGCAGCTTCGATGTGATACCATTTTAGATGAGCAGGATCTTGTAGTCTTCCCGATGCATATGAGGTGCTATAGGACTATAGGATCATGCCAGTCGCCACTCAAGCTGTGTCCCAGCCGTGGTGCAGGCTCGGCTTGAGAACCTAGCAGTTGAGCTCGGTGAGGAGGCTGCAGAGGTGGTTGCGGCTTGGCTGCCATTTCGTGAGCTCCTTGCTTGGAGTTGAGTTGCAGGCAGATGCGGGCATGGAGGGCCCTAAACCCTAAACCCTAAACCCTATAAGCCCTAAACCCTATAAGCCCTAAACCCTAAACCCTAAGCCCTAAACCCTAAGCCCTAAACCCTAAGCCCTAAACCGGATGTTTGGGATGTGCACAAGGAGCAGCTGCACCTGCCGCACGAGCCTGAGGAGCCTGTGCCCGAAACCTCCAGGCCCGGCTTGGGCTCACATGGCAAATCTCTCTCTCTCTCTCTCTCACTCGAATTTATTATTATTTGCTATGTTATAACATAATATACGAGAATATACTATAATATACGGGAATATGCTATAAAAACTCTCTCTCTCTCTCTGTCGGGGCGCGAGAATGCGTTTCCGCCTTTTTCCAGTGCCCTTCGGCGCTGGGCCGCTCCGCTGGCTCTCTTGGCCTTCGGCCTAGTGGCGCTGCGCCGGCGACGAGGGAAGGCCAAGGCAGAACGCCGGCTTTTGAAGGGGTTCGACATTTTGATAATTAGGGTCCCTTTTGTGGGTGCTTATTGTAATACGGCACCTATTATTTAGGGTACCCCAAAAGGGACCATAATTTTGACAACTACCCATATGAGTGATGATCCTGGCTTAGGGTTTAGGTTTAGGGATTTTGTTTGCACCTGCATCTGCCTGAGGCGCAGGATGTGCAGGAGCTCCCCCTGGCCGAGGGTGAGCCCGTTGTGAAACGGAGAGGGGTCCAGATGTTCAGGACCCTCTCCGACGTTGCAACCTTGAGCTGCGTCTTGCTGGGTGGTTCGAGACCCTTCAGAACAGCACTTCCTTACTTCATGCTACGCTGTTGTTCGTAGCTTCATTCGCACAGTCTGCAGACCTGCAAGACTCTGCAGATGAAAGGATTTCCACGGAGCAGCCAGATGAGGAGAATGAGATATCTCGGTGTTTCTGTGGACATACTCCCTTGAGCCTCTTCTCAGAGCATTTTCCGGAAGGAGCCGGAACCAGCTCATTGGAAGCGAATGATGTCCAACCTCTCAGACATGTCGGACAGGCGCGGCTGTCTTTCGTGGGTGCCCCTGACAGCAGACATCGCACAGATCCTTTGCGAGATTTTGCGAGCATCAAGTTTCGAAAGCAAAGGCATAAACATATTCACTCGAAGATGGGCCGGATCACGTGCACGACCGGAGAAGATAAGACCGCACCGCCAACAAGTGGGGCATGGCGCAGTTTGCATAGCGCATCACAGCACTTCAATCAGCAAGCGAAGCTCAAGAACAGAGCACCCACACATTTTCGCCCTGCACCCCATCCTTGCCGTCCCCCTTGCCTGGCCGCGTCCTGTCATGCGCACCCGGAGAGTTGACGAGCAAAAGCTTCTGATCTCCGTTCAACGAGCATTCGATCCCTGCGTGTGGCATGACAGTAAGATCCATGAAGCTGTTTTGAGACATACCACAGGGACAAGCCGCGGAGCAGTATGAAGCTTCCTTCAGACTCCATGTGAAAGGGTACGGAGGCTCGAGAGCCAACTTGACGGAAGAAGCTGCAACAGGCGCAGGAACTGGCCCTGCTCTGCCTGCAGCTATCTCGACGTTCAATTCGGCGGAAGCATGCTGAAACCTGCCGGAAGGCCTTGCCAGAGACCAAAATCGGGCACACCACGTGTGTGGGAAGAAGGGTGAATAAGGTACACCGCCCTCGCAAAGAAATCCCTGCAGATGCGGGGGCCCAGTCTGCTAAAAGCAGGTACTGGCATGCAGGCGCACCTGTTTCCCCTGCACCCTACGCTAAGCCCTAAACTGTAAACCCTACTGACAAGTAAGCCCGAAACTCGAAACCCTGAACCCCGGCCGTTGAAGGCCACTCGAATTGGGCAACTCGACCGTGACTTGCTTGCATTGGACGGTCTCGCAGGGCATGAGGGATTTCCTAGACTCAAGGGGTAAACCTGACCAGGAGGATCCTGCCATTTTTCAGGTCCCAAGAAGGATCCTAGCTACCAGTACCATTTGAGTGCATTTTTTGAGCGATTCCTAAACCCTAAACCCATAAACCCTAAACCCCTAAACCCATAAACCCTAAACCCTAAAAAAACCCTAGACCGATCCGCTTTATGCTGTCTTTCTGAGGAAGTCTTTCGGATGCAGACCCAGGAGATCCTGTCCTCAGCCTCGCAGAGCGCAGATGCAGGAGTTTGATTTGTTTTTTTTAGCTTGTTCTGGGGCTTGGTGTGAGGGTTTTGGAGGATTTTTTGGAGGGGTTTATGTAGGATGATGACGGTTCTCGCAGGGATCTTGTCGCCTACTTTGGCAATTTTTTGCAGGAGAAGGCTCCAGCGACAAGCCGCCGCAACTCTCGAGCAGCTCATCCTCCTCACCATCGCGGAATGTGCTGCAAGAGGAGGCCGAGCAAGAGGAGATAGAGGCCGAAGCAGAGAAGGCGGAGCTTGCGAAAGCCGAGCAAGAGGCTCAAGCCGAGAAGGAGCTGCAGAAGGAGCCCCAAAAGGAGCAAGAGGCTCCAGCTCAAGCCGAGCAGGCGGAGCAGGCGGAGCAGGAGCAAGAGACGGCACCAGAAGAGGAACTAGGAAAGCCCAGCACTCCGGCGGAGCCTGAGAGCTCTGAGCCCACGGCCAGTGCCTCGCAGGCACCGACGACAGCTCCACCAGAGCCATCAGAGCCCTCAGAGCCTTCCTCAGCGGCAGATTTTCTCGTCAGTGTTCCTCCGGAGGAAGAGCGGAAGCCACTTCAGGACGCCCCTTTAAACCATCGTGTCGCGCTACTAAAACCCAAGCCTCCTTGACGGACGTGCGTGTCAGGACCGGCCCCGGGAAAGCAAGTCCTCAAGTGCCTCGTCCGCAGTTCTGAGATGCATTAAGGGGTGCTTTGTCTTTCTACTATTGTTTGTATCATAATACATACTGTAGGACTTTTATATATATATATATAGAGAGAGAGAGTATGTGTATATATATATATATATATATACACGCTATGCCATATGCCATGCCACATACTGTACTATGTACTACACCGTGTATTCTACGTTTAGGGTTCGCGGTTTGAGGGGCAAGGCATGGCAAGGCTTGGATGAGTGCTCAGGTATCACACCTCCAGTTCCCATTCGCGGCGACCTTTGGCAAGTGATTCTGGTTTAGGGTTCAGAGCTTAGGGTTTAGGGCTTAGGGTTTATGGTTTAGGGGTTTAGGGTTTAGGGGTTTAGGGTTTAGGGTTTAGCAAGCTGTGTTACGTGCAGCTGTACCCCTACCCTGACCCTGCTGAGCCGAAGCCCTAATTCCGAATCCCTGCACCCCAATTTGGGTTTAGGGTTTAGGGTTTAGGGTTTAGGGTTTAGGGTTCAGGGTTTAGGGTTTAGGGGAACTCTGAACCTCAACCGCCTTAACCGCTCAGAGGATGACAGGTGGGGGGGCCGTAGGAGAAGCAAGCTACTCCCTGCTTGT